AAGATTGCTCGCAGCGAGGTTGCCCAGAGGGCTGGTGGCTGCCCCATCCCTGGACACATCCAAGGCCAGGCTGGACGTGGTTCTGAGCAACCTGATCTCGTTGATGCCGTCCCTGCTCATTGCAGGGGGTTGGACTAGATGAGCTTTGAAGGTCCCTTCCAACCCAAACCATTCTATGGTTCTAAACACCCAACTTGCACCTTCCTCTCCTTGCTAAACAGAGACATGATGAAGAGGCAGTGATTGACCAGGGAAGAACAAGCAACGTTGTCAACATTCACTATGAGAAGGAGGAGCTGGAAGGTGAGTTTGTGCTGAGATCCTGGTAGGGAGCCACCAGCCCAGTGCACCAAGTCCCTGCCACATCCCTCGCTCGGTGTCACATCATGTGCAGCAAAACCCATCGTGCTTCCTAGTGAAGCAGCACAGTTATCACAGCATTTTGGAACGTTTTGGCTTTTAAAGAGAGGGGAAAAGCCCCTTGGGGCCACGGGGTGAGTTGTAGCCACAGGGCTGGGTAATCCAGGGCTTGTTTCCTCGCAGAGGCTGCTCAGTCCCTGCCACATCCCTCGCTCGGTGTCACATCATGTGCAGCAAAACCCATCGTGCTTCCTAGTGAAGCAGCACAGTTATCACAGCATTTTGGAACGTTTTGGCTTTTAAAGAGAGGGGAAAAGCCCCTTGGGGCCACGGGGTGAGTTGTAGCCACAGGGCTGGGTAATCCAGGGCTTGTTTCCTCGCAGAGGCTGCTCATGGCCTGGAAACATCCCAAGAACTATTGGATGAAACTGATTTGACCTTCCCTTGTCACCTTGTGCCATTCAAAGCCTTCAACCACGGTTCCCTCCTGTCGCAGGCTCAGTGTTGTCCAGCCAAAACTGGACTTTGAGAAGAGTTTCAATGCTTTCAGAGCACTTTCAGATGAGCTGGAGCCATCACATGTCACTGTGGTGGCAAAGGTTGAGTAAAATAGGCTTGGAAAAGAGACCGGTCCGGGACTTTCAGGGGTGCAGGGAGGGGAAGCTGGTGTTTCCCCTGGGATCCTGCTCTGCTCTCACCATGGCACCAGCCTCCCCCATCTCCACAGCAGCGAGAGTGATGCCACTGCTGCTTTCCCGCAGGCCACCGGACCCTCTATGTGGGGGTGCGGATGCCGCTGGTGCGGCAGAGCCACCGGCACCACCGGCCCCACAGCCGCAAGGATCGGAAACGGGAACGGGAGAAGGACTCTGCCGCGACGGAGCAGGGCTACCACTGTGAGTCCTCCTCCAGCGCCGGGTCTGCTGCCAGCAGCGGGTCTGCTGGCTCCCTCTTATCCCCAGGGAAAGGGATCCAGCAAGATCCCCTTTTCCCAGACTTTTCCCCCTTGTTCTGTGAGTTTATTTAAGACGGTGAAAATTGAAGTCAATTTGTTGAACCTCGTCCCGTTGTCTTTGGCCCATGGATGCAGCTTGTCCAGCTCCCTCTGCGGAGGGATCCTGGCTTTAAAGGGAAATGTGGGGAAGGAAAGCAGCCCATCCCATGGGAAGGTGGAGTAGATGTGTGAGCCTGGACAGACCCAGGGGAGAGGGGGTAGCCCAGTATTTACGGCTGAAGTGGTGCTGATCCGATGCCCACTTGTAATGGGATGGGGCTTTGTCTTCTGCCCCCAGACACCCCATCGCAGCGGGTGCAGTTCATCCTCGGGACTGAGGAGGACGAGCAGCACGTCCCCCATGACTTGTTCACTGAGCTGGATGAGATCTGCCTGAAAGAGGACAAAGATGCCGAGTGGAAGGAGACAGCAAGGTAAGTCCCTGCTGCGGCTCTGCTCTCCAGGACGAGCAGGTCTTTCAGCTGCAGGAGCTGACGTGAGGAGACCTCTCCTCTTGGCTTTCC